ACGAATCAGGCTTATGGATCGTGACTCACAGTATTACCAATTTTACTCCGTATGTTATACATTACCCGAAAAAAATGGCTTATGCATCGTATACAATTTTACGCCGAACGAACGAATCAGGCTTATGGATCGTGACTCACAGTATTACCAATTTTACTCCTCCGTATGTTATACATTACGCCGAACGAATCAGGCTTATGGATCGTGACTCACAGTATTACCAATTTTACTTCTCTGTAGTTATTTACCCGAACGAATTTCGTGACTCACAGTATTACCAATTTTACTCCTCCGTATGTTATACATTACGCCGAACGAATCAGGCTTATGGATCGTGACTCACAGTATTACCAATTTTACTTCTCTGTATGTTATACATTACGCCGAACGAATCAGGCTTATGCATCGTGACTCACAGTATTACCAATTTTACTCCTCTGTGTTTATGGATCGTGACTCACAGTATTACCAATTTTACTCCTCCGTATGTTATACATTACGAACGAATCAGGCTTATGGATCGTGACTCACCAATTTTACTCAATTTTGTTATACATTACGCCGAACGAATCCGTATGTTATACAATTTTACTCCTCCGTATGTTATACATTCGCCGAACGAATCAGGCTTATGGATCGTGACACAGTATTACCAATTTTACTCCTCTGATGTTATACATTACGCCGAAACGAATCAGTATGTTATACATTTTTAGGCTTATGGATCGTGACTCACAGTATTACCAATTTTATTCTCTGTATGTTATACATTACGCCGAACGAATCAGGCTTATGCATCGTGACTCACAGTATTACCAATTTTACTCCTCTGTATTTTATACATTACGCCGAACGAATCAGGCTTATGGATCGTGATCGTATTACTTTTACTTCTCTGTTATTTACGCCGAACAGATTTCGTGACTCACAGTATTACCAATTTTACTCCTCCGTATGTTATACATTACGCCGAACGAATCAGGCTTATGGATCGTGATGGAAATGTTTTATTCATTTTAACGCCAGGCTTATGGATCGTGAAATTAAACTCTCCTCCGTTATTTATACATTACAACGAATCAGGCTTATGGATAACTCTTTTTTTTTTTTTTTATGTTATACATTACGCCGAACGAATCAGGCATGGCTGACTCACAGTATTACCAATTTTTCTCTGTATATTATACATTACGCCGAACGAATCAGGCTTATGGATCTGAAAGTTTTTTTACTTCTCTTAACGATTACGGAACGATTATATCGTGAATCCAATTTTACTCCTCTGTATTTTATACATTACGTTATGGATCGTGACTCACAGTATTACCAATTTTATTCCTCTGTTGGTTACACTACACCGAAAGTATAGGCTGGATGGAAATGTTTTATTCATTTTAACGGTAAAATTCACCTTTAACCTTTTTTTTTTTTTTTGGTTCCTATCATTTTCTAAAGTCTCTGGCTAAAGTTTTCCTTTAACGATGGAACGATTATATTGAATCGATTGTTAGGTCCGCTGCTATTAATGTTGGTTCACTGTGTCGTGTAGGACAATTTTTACATATTTTAAAGTCTACTATTCCTTTGAACATTGAATTTTACATTCACATCTAGTACGATGCTTCTGGTATGTACACACAGCTTCTTAACAAAATACAAAGAAAAATCAAAGATATCAGTCGGTTTCTTGGATTCAGTTACTTTCCCAGCGCCGTAACATACCCTTCCCTGTGTCTTTTCTACAAATTATCAGGGTAATTGATCTGATGAGCTTTACCCTTTGGTACCTCGATTTCATGAACTTGTCTAGCACTAGATTGGCAGTTAGGTCTCATTATTTTACTGTTTAAATTGCTATATTTAACCATAAGTTCTATTCTAAGAGATTCTTAGATCGTATTTTTTACTCGTGGAGCTCTCTTCCGACTTCTTGCTTTCCCGTCAATTATAGTCTTTTTTTATTATCCCGTGACCCGTAGGATCGTAGGGGCACCATGTGTACTGCAACCACGGTAAAAGTGGTGTTTCTGGGGCCAAGATAACCCTCTCCAGGCCGGTTTGTATTCAGAGTTTTTCCTCCTTCTAGACCGTTTGCCGCCCAAGGAACCAGTCTGACTTGCTATTTAGCCATAGCTGGGGGAGAAGAGGATTCATACCTTTCCCAAGGGTATTAATGGATCCGACTGGAATTCGAACTCGGCTCTCCGATTCCTCAATTCGATCCGCATTACTCCACCGTGACTTATAGTCTACGAACGGTTAAATGCAACGTCAGGTGTCCTGCAATTCCATTATTGTCCTATCTCCTAATTAACGTTTTCTCATTTTATTTTCATTCTCAGTAACCTTTTGTGTTTTAGTGACTTTATCGCCTTGATCTGGGTGAAATGATTTAAAAAGTGAACATTAATCTTTTGGTAACCTTGTACCAAACCATATCTAAAAGGCTACATGTGTAAGATAAAAGTTATCAAAATTCACGAATTTCATCTCAATATCA